GAACGTATAATAATTCCATCGTACCCTCGACGTTTCCCATCTCGCCGACTGCATGAAACGGTCGAAGTTTTAAGAAGGTCCCGCCCGAATTCGTAAAAGGAAACTTGTGATCGTTTCTGTTTTATCTTTCCTCTCATTCGCTGATCGAATATATTCGCTGATCTCTATGCATTGGATACAATAATGTCTATCGAATACGACTTTCGGATTTGACGTGCAATGAATTTCGTTTACACAATTTCCATACACATTCTTCTGTTTGCATTTGCGCGGAAGATAAAATAAAGAGACATATTTTATAATTCAATCGATATTTTAAAAAAATCACAGCTGCTGTCTTAATGATATCGTATCTGCAGTACTAAGATTCGTTAGTGGACGGGAAAAATTGAACGCGTTGCGGACACGTTCAAGTTTGATTAAGTGGCGGACGTTAGACGCGGAGGGCAGTATTAGCAAACTTGCCGGGAACTTGTTCATTAATGGATCGGAGCTCTCACGGACGCCTTGGGTAAATCCACGTTGTAATCCGACGGTCGAGCTCGTCGGACGGCAATTGAAACTGCCAGCGGCAGCCGAACTGCCGTCCCGGGTCGCCCGCAAGTAATATACGCGCGTATAATTAGTTGCGTCGCACACTCGATAGCGGGCACCCGCCGGGGTGATTTGTTGGACATGGTTATTTTATCGCTCCTGCACGTTCGTGCGACGTGTTTCCGTCGAATGAAACTACATAGGATTCACGGATGCTTGCTATATATAAGTCGATATCATCAGAGCATCAATATCTTGCCTTCGGTGTCTGCGCTGTATAACGTTCGATATTTTCTTTCTTCCATACTTAACTCGTGATTGCATGCATTTTGTCGTTGAATTTTACGAACAGAGTATTATGACATTATATTTAGAATATCCGAGAGAAGATATTAAGTTTTAAAAGTCTGAAAATATTCGAGAGAGGAATTTTTTTTTCTAAATAAGACAAAAAAGCAGCTCTATTATATTGGATTAAAAATAGATTCTTGGCGAAATATCAAGAATATGTTAAAAGATAATTTAATTATTATTGTGGATAATTGGTAGCACGAATAATTAATATTCTCTCTTAAAAAACAGGTATATTTATACAAAAAATGTATTTTTATAATATATATTTATATATATTTAAAAAAATTATATTTTTCTGAAGAATCAAGCTGAAAATATTGGGGCGAAAGAAAAGCATCGATATTTCAATGGTATCGTTAAAATAGTTAGCTCGCAAGCGCTACGTCCAAAATATACGGCTGGTCGATGGCTTGAAGACGGCGGAAATTGATGATGATAGAAGAGCGAGAACTTTGCCGTCCGGAAATTAGTGACTCGAAGTAGAGCAAGAAGCAGGTGCGCTTGATAAAAATATTAAGGTAAACCCAATTGTTATTGCCCATTCACGTGGTTATCGACCATTTAAGTTTGTGAACTCGTTTAATTTTTGATATATATCTTGTAATTTTATTAGTTTATATAATTAAGGGAATATTTTGTGTAACGACAAGATAAATTGGTTGGCGTTCGATGCTTATTTCTTAGAGTTAAATTACTTATATTGCATCTCTTTTCGTTTTTATTGAAACCCTCTCAACGGGTACACCTTGACGTTGGTGAGAGGGCTCAGTACCTGGAAGGTTTATCCTGAAGGGGCAGCCAAGTACCCAAAATACAGCATTGCCACGAGTCACAAATGGTTCAAATGTGGCAAGCGCATATTTTCGATCGTAAAATTCGGAAGTGTATTTAATTATATAATTATATATAATATTATAATCATTATAATATTATAATTATATATTATGTAATTATATATAATATATAATTACATGGACATGTTTGTTTCTATATATATTATGAACTTTACAAAATAGTTTTTAGATACGTATCGATGTAAGTGATTCAGCATTCACCAACGAAAGATCAAAAAATTTATAGACTAAAATATAGCCTAAATATATTTATTTATTTAAAAGAAATTTTGTTTTCTCTTCGATCTCTGTGGCTAAAAATCCAGTCGGAATGTAGCCGGCATGTAGCCAGGAACAACAAAAAATTAGTTTACTATTGGTAAGAAGAATAAACATATACGAGATACAAAACTAGATAAAATACGTAGAGCTATTAAGTGTTACATAAAATTTTAAGCTATAAAATTGAATTTTCTTTTGGACAATATGAAAAAATATAATTAATTATAAAAAATAGAAATTAAAACCATTACATAGTTTAAATAATTATAAATAAAATTTACTTACCTCTCAATTTCATGTTTACAGCCATTTAGTTCTTTACTATGTTGGTTATATTATTTTTAAAATAATTATAAAATAAGTCATTCACACAGAATTTGAAACACGTATTCTCTAAACATCGATCAATTACGAAAAGGAGATGAGGGAGGTGAGGAAAATGATCAATAAAAGACACATATGTTAAAAAAACATTTACATATTTATATATATAAAATATAATACAATTTGTTACAGTGTAGATGATAGTGTAGCGTTTAGATATAAATATCAAGTGTAAATCGGGTAGGTATAAATCTAAGAGCATTATATGGAAGGATAGGGCGCTCGGTTTGTTTGTGTGTGTGTGTGTGTGTGTGTGTATGTGTGTGTATGTATATGTATATTATAAAGATATAAGACGCTGTTTTTTTTTTCAGCCACATCCCTATCCGAAATAGTTATCGAGTGTGTAGTAAAGTGCCTATGAGGTTCTCCGGACGTCGTTTAAATCTAAAACTATATACAGGACACACTCTATATGTACACGCACACGCTATTCGCTCGATTTCCTTAAATGCACTCTCGCATTTATGCATTTTATCGCTCCGATCGCCGCACACATTTCAACCTTGTTTTAACAAAGAGCGCAAAATTCGAGCCCAGCGACCGCTAATCCTCTACGTACAGTACATACATTTTCGATTTCCCGGCCTTCACCGCCGTTTTCCTCGAGCTCGCAATGACGTTGACATCGACCGACTTCTCGCGCACTTCAAAACGGAAATCATATCTATTCGAATTCGGTTCGGTATATATTCTCGATGGAATAAACATTTTTGTTGGAAATGGTGCAAGGTAGAAGGGCTTCGTACACCGAGACGCCCCAGAATTCGATTTTCCAATGTCGCGATAAGAATGTTGCCTTGAAAAAGAGACGGCATTCTGTCGACTCTACAGTTATCTAATACATATTTTACGTAATAACTGCTTCGAAGAGAACAATAGTGGTTTATAGTTTCCTTCAAACGTTATATTAAATTATTTCAAATTAAATAAAATTTGATTTAGGCCTCTAACTAATCATCAAAGAAATATTAATATAATAGCAATATGAAAAAAAATATATTGATAATTACTAATATAATTATTAATTTTTGTTATAAAAACAATAAATAAAATTGATTATGTCTATTATCTCAGAAAAAATAAAATTCGCGGTAGATAAGAAAATAAAAGCAAGTATAAATAATATTCATCACATTGTGGTAAGAGAAGAGAAGATGTCGAAAAAATTCTTTTCTTAGTCGCTTCGGATGTTATCGAAGACACGGTGAAGGCCAGCAATCGTTACAAAAAAAGAAGATCGCTTAACATATCTACGATATCGGATCATCGAGTATAAATAGCGTAATAACACGTTGCTCTATCGTTACCTAATAATTATCTGAGTTTATTAAAAGACATTTAACTCGTGACGCTTTGCTTGATTGTTCTGTTCATATCACCGGCGGTTCCTTAGCACCCACCCACGTCGCCGACAATCCGCGACGGAGGATCACGCCGGGATCCTCGACAGTCGACATCCGCGCATCATCGACGACGTATATCGACTCCTCGAAGCGAGGACGATAATATTGCGTCGTCCTCGCTCACATCATACAACGATTATTACGAGCCCGTTCGACGAAGCTAAAAATCGTTCGATATATTCAGCGGATTCCTAGATCATGCGTGTTCACGCAGTGGAGAAAAAGATATAGAGTCGAGGAGAAAAAGAAACTATAGTGTGGAATCTCGGTCGAATCGATTAGCCGGAATTTTTGACTGCGGCTACATGTGCTTTATGTGGGAATATAGTACTATTGCGCGTGCGATCTCTTCGAAAAAAATTATATCGATGTGCCGAATAATAATGCGATGCTGTCGAATCCTATGAATAGTTTATACATTAATCAATATCTTATTTCGGAAAAGGAAACCTCGGATAATTGGAAAAGCTTTGCATTTTTTAAATAAATGTGAATGTATAAATGCCCTAAAAATATGATCTATCTATTATTTAATTAACTATCGATATACAAGTGCTTCATTTGAAACTATCAAATTTCTCGAAAATATGCAACTCCGCAGCGGAAACTCGCACGTTCGCGAATATAACGGATTATCGGAGAGGGAAAAAAAAACGCTGCGGTGCCCGTCTCTTTGCGTAATAATTGTCCGGCGTGGCGTTGTGAGTTATCGAAAATAGTTGACCGAACAACTACGTACCGTCGAGTACCGTTGGGAGGCGACGTCATACGCGAATTTATTGTCCGGCAACGCCGATCGCATTCCATCGCCAGGATATAATTCCCCGTTCTCGCTGTTGAATCGGGTCCAATCGGAACACAATATTTGTAAAGCAATATATGGCAGCAATATACTAGCAGTTCTCAGTGATTTCGATTCGACAAGTACAGCGTGGTTACGAACGAATGATCTCCGTGCTGCTCGTTGACCCTTAAGTAGTCGATGGCACTCGGAAATCCACGTTTCTCTCTCATAACTCCGCGAATAATTTTTTACAGGATCAAGATGTAGAAAAAATTGAATTTTTTCAAATTTTGAATTCATAAATCATATTTTAAATAAAAGGAGAGATTGTAAAATTATACGTCATTTCTTACGACAGTTTCGTGGTAATAATTTTTTAACTCTCTCTGGCTTTTTTGTTAATAAAGTTTATTTTTTTATATATTTGTGTAATAAATTTTTTTATTATACTATATTGCAACTAAATAAATATTGTCAGACACACTCGGGAGACTTATCGCGACTGCTTAAGGGTTAAGACGCGACCATTCGATTACCCTAAAATCTTCTCTACACATACAGATTTTTCTATGACACATTTACGAATTACCAGTTAATATTAAATTGTAAAATGTACTACACGTGCCCGCGAAATACCAATTAATCGCGTCTACGCCTTTGAGATTTCGCTATACTAGAAGGGGGAGCAGGAAGGGAAGAGATCCTTCCCGATCTTTAACACCGAAAAATGTTTTGCCAAAAATACGAATTCGATGAAAAAATGCAAAAGTGATTTTGGCTAACAAAGCTCCTCGTTTCTTTTTCTCTCTGTTAATGTCAGCGCAAAATTGAAGTCGGCAACAGCGCGTGTTTAGGGACACTTCCGTTTCGTTTGATTTCGAAATGAGATAGAGTAACGAACAAATCCGAGAGTCGAGAGTCATTTAAATGGAAATTATCGAGAAAAAGCTTTCGAATCGAATGCAAATCGCCATGCAGATTGTATCGATCAATACGTTCATTTAGCCCTTGAGAACGTTTACAAGTTTATTAGGCACGTCATATATTTATATTTATTTGCATTGTGCAACTAATTGAAGTATACAGCTAATAATAACAGAAAATATGATGATAATAGTATTAATATTAATCAATAAATTGAGAATATCTATATATAAACAGGACTTTGGTAAAATTAAATAATTTCTTTTACAAGATTCGTCGTAAATCATTATAAAGTGAAGAATCGCTGAATCATAGTATCGCAAAACTATAATTGATAACTTAACTTATATATTGAGCAACCGCAAATTATCGCATGATCAAGCGCATATCCATTACTTCTCGATATCGTTAATATATTAATAAAATCGATAGTTGAAATCATAATATGTTGTGGAGAATCTCGAGTGTCCCTGTGTCAGACTCGTTTAAAATCTCGATAGTGCGAGATAGATAGATAGAAAGTATGTGTATGTATATGCGTTGTGTATGTGTACGCAATAGTGAAAGATGTGTCGAAAGATTTGCGCAAGTAATCTTTTTATATATACATTAAATAAGGAATAAATAACCACTCGTGTACGATAACGAGCGTTGACAAGCGCGCGAATAATGTTACACGTAATAAACTGTACAGAATGTTACAAAGAGTCGTCAAATATGTATAATATTTATATATAATAGTGTATCTATTTATATATTTATGTATATATATATATAAACCTTGGTTATATATATAAGTAACACCCTCGCGTGAAACGCTCAACGAAAGAGATTACGAGTACGAGATTCTTGTAACAAGATTTAGATTCTCGCATGAAATTGCTATCGCGTGCAAATCAACCAATGCTTATATAATCTTTATTTTAAAAAACGCATTTCCTATCGCTACGATCTAATTAACAAAATGTACAGACTTCGGTGGGAACCGTGCGAACGCGAAGCAATGAACGTCGAAGCATATACCGGTTTATCGTGTTTACTTGCCAGAATTATCAGAACATTATTTCCCACAAATGATGTTTTCTTAAAATCTCCGTGGAATAGCGAGAAATAAAAAATTCGATTTCGCGAATACAATCTTCATCATAATTGAAAATACATTCCTAGCGTATAAAACAATGCACACTTCTCGCGAATTCCGTTCTCCCAGATTAATTTTTTTTTATTTTTTTTTTTTTATTTTTGTACAAGGAAAGAGTTAATGAGATTTTAAATTAAAATGTTGCCATGAATATATTGATTTCGTTTTATTTACTTATTCTTCGTTGCTCGAGATTTGACTCTACATTTTTCCCTTCATAGGAAAGCTTCGATTTTCTTGTCGTGTTTCAACTGAATTTGTGGTGTGTTAAATTAAATCGGGAAATAGTGCGCTGAAAACTTCGGCTCCACGTCGTACCCTGAAAAATAGAATCCGCGAAACGTTCTTTCGCGAGAATTGCGATGCCTCGACCGGTTCCCAATCACCAAATAAACAGCCAACAATTAAACTCTCGCGAGTACATCGAAAGAAGCTTTAAAATAATTACGCTCTGTCGACAGAACCGCGAAAATTTGCGAAGATATCTCTCGTTCGATCGGCAACGTTGACAAAAAGACAAATAGCATTTTCAATGCTCACGTTGTTAAATTATTCCCCCTTCAGCCATCGAGACGAATATAGATGTAGTTTAATGCGACTTAAAAAAAGTTTCAAGCATTCGTATGGTTGCATCAGGCAATAATCTCGAAATCGATAATGACGGAATGGCTCACGCTTAGGTGACGACAATGAATGGCAGTTTTATCAGGCAGTGTGATCATGGGACGTACTAATTAACTTAAATATAAATGGATGAAATACTTCCCAGCAATTTATGCAACTGCATACGTATGGAACGAATTTGTCCGATTATTATCAGTTCTCTCTCTCACACATGATATTAAAAATTATATAAACTAATATTTAATACAATATTATACAAAACGCAAAATTTAAAAAATTATTAAGAATAAAATTGATTAATGGTAATTGTTTTTAACAATGTATGATTATAATTAATTATATTTCTTTATTCTTTGGAAATATGTAATGAATATAAAAAAAAAAATAATAATTTTGCATAAAGCATGATTCATATGAGTCTTCTACAATACAAATTTGATTAACTTTTTTGCAGTTTTTTTTTTTTTTTTGGACTTTTGATTGTTGATACGTATCAACGTATATTGAATGCTTACAGCAAATGTATTTTGACATAAAGAATGGAAGAACTCCCGTGTTATTATCCGTTATTATCCGCGTATATACCTTTTCGTTGAGGTGCAACTTACACTTTTGAATCCAACGTATGACACAGCCGATGCGCTCGTATCCGAGAGATATCCTGTTACGATCGTCCTGCGCGAGCACGCGGGATATTACAGATTCTCTGCGATAGCATGCAATTTCGAATACAGTAGACGCAAATGTCGCGAGTATAAATAATAATGAGAATTTCAGGTGAGAAAATTTCCACAGTAATTTATAGGTATTTCCCATCGATCGGTGGGATTTCTGCGTTTACTTGGATATTTCGAAATACCGTATCGCAAAAAATCTCTATTGTATAACAGCGGTGCGCGCGAGCGGAAATCGCGAAAGAGAAAAGCCGATCGCGAAACGAGAACGCGATAGATCCGATCTCTCGCGCTCGGTTTCACCGCGGGCGAAATTAACACGCTATGCATCCACATCCGTTTCCGTCCAATACAGCATCATTAACTCTCTCGTTCCTGTCGAGCGCTTTTCGACTGGGATGAATATTTAATTAACTTCATCCCAAAAGATCGCGTCATATACTAAAATATTACAGAGGGAGAAATTAAAGATCCGACTTAAAAAAAAAACATGCAAATGTCAAAAATAAAAATGCAGGGAAAGAACCTTCTCTAAATATACGGAGCAAAAATACATGTATATTCACGTTTGGTGCTTCTCATAGATGTTCTCTTAAAAATATCTACAACTTTTATAGAATTATTTGCCTTGACATATAAAAAAAATATGACAATACAGTCTCCTTTTAAGTCAAATCTTCAAATATCACAAATCTTTGTAGAGAATATCTAATTCGATCAAATAATATTCCGGAAAATGAAATATTTTTAATTATTACTATATGTTAGATTTATTTCTACATTTCTTATTTTAAACATTTTCTCCTCGACACATGATCATATTAATTATACTAACCAAGAAAGAAAGAGTTAACGTTTCTGGCTGGAAAATCCGAGTATCAGGTGGACGAGATATCTTTGATGATGTTTTATCATATAAAATTACCATAATTTTACTTCAACACCTATGTATATGTCGAGATAATGTGGATCCGTTAATTTCCACTACATCTTCTATGATATATGTTTGTATATAAGTTTCATTTACACCGAATGGTGATTGCAATTGTCCTTTCCCACTCGCAGAAATTCGAAGTTCTCGATTGAAGGCTGGCGAAATCATGGCGTTACACGAGCATGCGTGTCAAGTTTTTATAAACTGCTTATTCTTGAGAAGTTACATGTAACTCCAATTTTGAAAAATTACGATCAATAACGCGCAAATGTAAATCGGCGCGGTACGTCAACAAAATTTTTAACAGTATAAACTTACACGCTCAAATTAAACATATGTTATAAATCTCAATCAGTTTCGATTATTTTCATCGTCATTCTAAACTATTCGACGCGCAGATTCCGCTAGCCGTGCCGGAGAAATCATTCCACCGCGGCCCGAAAGAAAAAGAAAAACCATCGATCGAATCTCTTGACAAATCCCGGGCGCGCTCGGTCGGAGAACGATAATACCTATCTAAGCCTAAGTTACAACGCGTCGCTGAGATTGGCATGTACTTACGCACTCCAGCTGCTGCTGCTCGGTATCGCGAATCATCCGCCGCGAATTCGATCGCGATGAACGATCATCAGGACGATCCTGGATCCGAGTAAACTCGAACGACCGATCGACCAGCGGCGATGTTCACCTGAACGCGGCGCCCGCGACGACGGTAACGGCGGCCAGGATAACCGCTGCCGATACTGTACGTCCGCAGGAACTACCGGCCGTGAGTCCAGCGTCGCTGCTGCGGGATACTTTGCTACGCACCAGCTGACCTCGTTCGACCGCGTTCGACTCGTCGCTGTCAGGGTCGACTGGCGCGCCGATGTCGTCGTCCTCGCTCAGCAGCATCGACAATTTGTTCCGCAGCGGCTTCTTCGCGCAGGGCACGCTCGCCTCTTCGTAAGGCCTGAGGATGCGCGGGTAGTGCACCTCGAGGTTGTCCGTGCCGGGCAAAGCGCCCTTGCTGCTGCCGCACAGCGGCTTAAACGTGCCCCCGCGGGTGGCTTCCTGGAAGGTCTGGAAGTTCGACTCCCAGTCGTAACTGATTAGTCGCTCCTCCAGCGTCATACCCGCCAATTTCTGCGGCTCCTGGATCATTACCGGGCTAGAACCCCTGCGCAGAAATCAAAGTCGTCCTGTCAAGTCGCTGTTATCTCTTAAGTTTTACGTTTTATATTTCTCTTTTTTTTTTGTATTTCGCGCAGTTTTAACTTCCTATATCGATTTAATTTCTTTTTATTGTTTTATATTTTATCACGTGGCTCTTCTGACATATAATCTCTTTATTCTTCTATTCTTCCATCTTTTGTATTTTTAAATATAACCGGGGTATAAAAGAATAATCATATTTTAATTTAAAAAGTAATTATAAAAAACTATTGATCTTCGATATTGAAAATAGAAGGATTAATTTTTGAAACTTTAGTTACAATTTATTTAGGATATATCTGGCAAATGTTACGTAACGATGGACAACACATTTGATGCAACGTAACTATCACTCGTTAAGTTAATGACACTCGGTGCTTTCGTTGTGTCAATACGTTTATTAAATATTCCTTTTTCGCACAAACGGTTTATCAGCCGAAGTTATAACAATATTTTTTTTTTTAAAGATAACGAGAATATAAATGAACTAATTCAAAATGATATAAAAAACAAAGCAGATTTGAAAGACAAAACAATTTGAGATGAATTTTAAATAAACTTCAATTAATTAATCGATTCAAATATTATTGAAAATATATTTTCGGCAAAGTTGTAAGAATATATGCATCTTTTCGTCTTCTAAACTCTGGAGAAATATAATTATCACGCCACACAAATTTTTATTAATGGTCATAAGTCAATGAAAATGTCAAACTTACTGTACTAATTTCTGGATTCCCAAGCTATGCAGGACTGTCGGTAACGAGGGTAAAGAATAGCAGAGAGATAACTCAATGCGAGGATAATAGAGAGCAGACACCAGACAAGTCTCTTCTCTCGTTGCCAAGCCGCCGAGCGTGATGGCCCCCCGCGATTCGGACGAGTACGTGCATTCGGCGACCAAGTGATCACCCTGTAAAAAGAAACATCGCCTAACCGTGAACAAGCGCTAAACGACAAGAGAATCTTAAAAGTTTAAAAACTCGTAGTGCCAACAAAAAAATTTTACATTACATAAAAAAATATTAATAATGCGGATAAATTGCAATTATTAGATTAACATAATAAAATTGTATATGTACATGTTTTTTATTATCATAAATTCAATTTTGTTAGTTTTTAATTGAATTTTGCTACAATACATTTTTATTCTATGTTAACATGTAATCGCGTTTTAAACCATGCCGTTCGAGTCCGTTCAAACAATTAAACTCAGGTTCATGCCCTGCGTCTGTAGCATGTCGGCACTTTACGTGATCAAAGCTTATACTTATTGCACGTTAATAAACTTTGTAACAAGCTCATAAACTTTCTGATACGTGCTACGGGTTATAATGCAGCGAAAAGAACGTTCGCGGCAACATGAGCGAAAGGCGTGCAATGTAGCGGAAAAACAGAACAGAAAAATAAGAATATATTAAAAGACTGTTGTGTGAAGAACGTAAGTTACTTGCGAAACGCTTAAGGATATAATCTCGGATTACTTCCGAAGGAAAAATCTCAATGGATAGAATCCGAGATTCTTCGCGATCCTCTCCCGTTAATCGGAAAAATTTTATAATTGCATTAGCCCCACGTCACCGTAGATAAGACGAGATTTAATAGATTGCCAATAAATTGGATCTTGACACAAGGATTAAAATAAACTGAAGCTTAAACTGTATAATATCACGGGAAAAAAGATATTAGAAAACAAAAAATATATATAACCTTTTTCTATCAATGTACGCGTATTAACGTATGCACGCTTGAGTTGAGACTTACCGGATACACCTTGACCGGTCTCTGGAGTCTCCGATACTCCTGATAATTGGGATCGTAGTTGGTATCGGCGGCAATCGGCGATAGTTCCTCACCACTGCGGATCTGCCGCAGGCGGACCTTCCTACCAAGCTGGTGGGTGTGCATGATCACGGCGAACATGTTGATGCCGCTATTCGGTATCGTCTGGCCAGTGCATTCGGCGATACAGTGGCCCTCGGAGACCACTTCGGGTTGGCCTGGCGGTATTATGTGCCGCCAGTTCGGGTCGATGCCGATGCTGAGGATGCCGGCGTCGTGGCCGCGCAGCCGATCGGTATAAAGGAGACGCAGGCCACTGCTGTCGCTGATGAAGGCGTCCAGCTGCGGATTCGTGTAGTGGGTCTCCAGCATGTAGTAGCGCGGCCCCGTGTACGGATTGAGCGCGTATCCGGCCTCCGGCGGATAATTAAAGCCCTGGCGCGGCGAAAGGGGAGAGAAGAGAAACGATGGATTATGCAGAAGCCATGGCAGTAAATAAAAACAGGATCGCGGCAACGCGAGTACCGGTCGCCGTCCGGTTCTCCGGATCGGGAGTCCGCGCGTTCTCTCGCTCCGATCTGGTCCGGTCTGATCCCGCCGCCCCTTACTTCGGCGACGTGTACTCTTCACCGGACCCCATAATCGGTATACGCCTCGATCCATCAGCCGCGGACTCCCGATGCAGAAATTGTCGCTCGTGAAATTCGTTTCCTTATTGGCGATGCGCGCACACCGCGAATTACGCTCGGCTAATTTTAATTTTCCGATACCGATGATGAGCGAGATAACAATTCGCCCGCTTCGAGGAATTGAGCGGTAATCGCCGCTTTAATAAACGCTTCTAGATTTATTATTAACGCGGCCCGGATAATTTTGATTATCCGCACCAGATTTGTTTGTTTTATTAATGAGATTTCTTTTTTAATTCTGGACTTTCAAATTGAGATCCAGTAAAATGTTTTCGTGTCGTTAGCATTTCTATAATTTGCGATAGTATTTGCAATAATAAATTGAAGAGTACCCTCTCCTCATCATGAAAATTTTATTCAATATTTATTTCCCGACGTTTTATTTTCAACATTTAATTTCTGACGTCTAAAGTTAATATAAAATAACATTGCGCCGAATTTTAAATACCGATGTCGTGATTTTTAAAAATAAAATATTTAATATAATATTCATTAAGTTAGTATTAAAAGGTATATAAGAGAGAACGCAAAACAAAAATAAAAATAAATACACTCGATACAGCGTTCATCGCATATCTCGACAAATATTCGACTACATGTATTATTAGTTAACGTTATTGTTAATATTACTCATCATCATATTAGGTCACTGAATTGCTCGTTATACATGAGATCCCGACGCGTCTCACGATCAGTTGCAAGTTCGCATGGTATTCGTATTACCGATAACCGCGAAGAAACAAGTTTGCGGTATTCCTGTTCTCACATTAGTATGCATTACACCGGACTTGGAATTATCACGAAACTCCGAACGTGTCTTGTACGCTCGTGCGTAATGTTTGATAACGTATCAGAGTCGACATATAAGAATTTACGTGTTAAAGAGCATTAGATATTTCCAATAATACAAAAATTGCCAACAAAAAAATAAACGCAGTATCGAATTTGAGAAGAATTGTTGATATATATCGTAATACACATCTTTTAAAAAAGTAAGGCTTTAATAGAATGTCGACTTTAATCAATTATCATATCAATTATTATATCATTTTACTACATAACAACTGATCTCGATGCAACAATTAAATAGTTCCATTATCGACCGAATCATAGATAATTAGAGTTTTAATTACGATTTATTATAGAGCACGTAATCAATAAATATAAATTTTTAAATGTTTAAATTTTTTATCTGTGCTTTCTATATTTTCACGGTTCTGCAAATGAACGCCCTTTTTACTCGCACAAAATTTGTCAACAATGTGAAAGTACTCGAAATTCTCTCGTGTGTGAGTGTAAGTGAAGTTTTCGACGTACCTCAGAACCGAGACTCCAAGTGGCCGCGATCGTGTTGCACTGGAATGCAGGTTTATCAGGAACATAACAGACACTCCCGCTCGTTTCGGCCGCGGATTCCAATTCGGCTTGATCTCCACGGCACTCATACAGGGTCATGTGATGCAGGTATTCGTGGCTTCCTGGCTGAATAACTGGTTCATACTGAAATACAGAACAGGCGTACAAGTTCGTAACGAGAATTAATGTCGAGCGCATTTCGGTTTTTGCAACGTCTTAATAATTCGGAAACAACACGTACTTCTTCACGTGCTTATTACAGAAAAAAATTAATTGATCGAAGAAACCACAAGTACGAGAAGAATAAAGAGAAATATATTTCATATGTATTTTTTTGTATTTTATTTAAAATTCAATATTTTATGATGCATATATATTATATTGATTTACAAATATTTAATCCAATTTTAGAATCGAATATTCGCTATTTCAATATTTAAAGCTAGACGGACATCAATCGATTAATCGGTAACTAACTATCGATATTCAATCGAATATTATCGACGGAAAGAAAAAAATGTTTCGCATCTTAATAGACGCCATTTCTCGCAGTTTAAAGAAAGTTGTTGGAGTGCAAAATTGAAAAAGATCGGGCTACGACATTAGTTTTGCTCCAATATCGGAAGAACGTGCCGCGTTTTAATTTGTTCCTTCAACAAATTAAAAACTCGCCGATACCAAGGCCATTCGCGATTCTCGTTAATCTAAGAATACATTGGTCAATAAAAGTTCCGTAAAACGCGAAGGGGTAGTTCGCGCTTTAAGCGTTTGAGTTATCGCAGACGGAACGCTAATCGATTCTCCTTCTCCGCCGGATACTAAGAAAGACCCGAGATAGGAACACAGTCGCAATCGCATCGCGTAGTTGGGTCACGTCCGATCGAGTTCGAGATTCAGATGTCGGTCGGTCGACCGGCGATAGATAGTGCGAACTATATCAGCCAGTTGTCTCAGCGTTCTGTTCGGAAACTCCCGAATGCGGATGTGAATATGTTAAGGACCGAGGTACGGTGAAGTAAAAAATAAGAAGAGAATAAAGAAAGAATAATATTTTAATATATATAAATATATAAATAATATATAAATTGTAATTCAGAAAATATTAATTATCTAAATTATCTCTAAAGAGAGTCTTTCTTACAAACAATTTGACATGTTAGTGACGATCATAATCATTAACTCGTTCCAGCAGCCGTTAAATTTTACGTTGCGTTAATTGACAAACAGATTAAATTCGAATAATTCGAGAATATGACTGAGATTTTATAGAGTTATCATGTGTTCTGCGAGGGAAAACATAACTCGAGAGACATAAAATGTGAATTGTTCTGAAATACTTCTTGACCAAATTATTTGCTGACGTGAAATTCATGTCAAATAGATAAAAATATGGGCGAATATCTAAATAAATTTTGAAATAAAATTTAGAGCAAAGAAAGAGCGTTTATATATACATAATTTTTTAAATCAATTCGGTTTATGATATCTTCTCCAATTCCTTTTATTATAAATGTATAATAAAAATTGGTAATATCATAACGGTATTTCATTCTCGGCTTAATTTTCGTTGGAAGAACGTAGTAGCGCAAAAAACATTAATCTAATGTAAAATGCATCCGAGTCTATTGACAATAAAATATTCCGCGTCATATTAAACTCGCAAAAACACGAGTTAGCAAACGCGTTTTACTACCTGCTTTTGTTGCCGCTTTTGGTCCGACTTCGATTTTTAACACGCAATTTGGAGAATCGCACGCGTCTGCATCGAAATGGAACGTATTACAGTCGACGTGAACCGATACGCAGTAGTAATACGAGGTTTACGACCGACTGCTTTATCACTGTCGCATTTATTGATGACATCTCGTGCATCGATCTGTCATCGCGCTGATGGCGAAATTGGCGGCCGGAACGGCGAAACGATCTCACCTACCGCATTGATCCTGCCATCCAACAGATCCGCCCAGTCGTACATTTATGATGAAATTTTATAGCCGAATTAATCGATCGTGCTCGATAATCGTACTGGCGAATCGAAGGCTCTTTTACTTATCAGAATAATAAAGCAGGCCAATGTTTTTTTAAATATTTTTTTCACGCCTGCAATAAAAGGCTCATGTACAAATATTTTAAAAATGTTTGTAATTAATTACAATACGTGAAATAATTCAAATTTTTAATTAATTTATACATATATATGTAGAACAGTCTTTCTTTACAATTTTATTCTGTTAAAAAAACAAAAAAAATATATATATATAATTATATAAAAAAATGTTTTATTAACATTTAAGAATATTATATTAACATTTTAAAAATGTTATTTATCCGATCAAAATATTATTTAAGAGTCCTCATGAAGGAAAATACGAAATTGTGAATTGAAATAAGTCTTCCTTCTAGTATGTCAGAGCGTTTTTAAAAAAGGAAACCATCGTCCCGGCTATGATTAATCACCTGATGTAAAATATCGTATAACCTCTAGATTATCATTTTGCGCGGCATATTTATCGGACGGCTACTTGACGAGGCATCTCGAGATGCGAAAACACGCGAGGCAGAAGAATATCTCCCGTATGAGGAAGGGAAGATGGGAGGAAAGGAGATGAGAGAGACAAGTCGGCAAACTCGACGTGCAGTTTCTTCGGCATTACAAGAGCATCCACCTTCGCTTTAATCAAGTCGGAGAGCGGCGGGCGCGCGCGAGCTACCGTAAACGGGTTATATACCTGGAGGAGAGAACTCACCTTCACGACGTGGTGTTTGTGATTAATGCTCGGCATCCTCAGGACACGGCACCAGAGCAGCATGTCTTGCCCCATGGGTAAACGAACCTGCACAGCAATTCGAATGGTACTTCGTTAAGCGAGTATAATTCCACACGAAATTAACGGATAGAGCTACTACATTGAAACAATTGATACTTCAGATATCGACATTGAAATCACGAGGAAATATCAATATCACCTTCATATATCCGAAAGAAAAACAATTAACGTATATACGCATGAAAATACATGTATTTTAAAACATTAAAAAATTAAAATATAAAAGATTGATAATATAGCGCAAGCAAAAATATGAACACTCAAAAAAGTGGTATTGCAACTACAGCAAAAATTTTCTGGGTGCGCAAAATTAACTGAGGTACATAAATGATTAGCAAATACTGTGATATCGCATATGTTTCGCATTTAATCAATCTAAGTGACAGAGACAGAATTTATATCTGAACTGTTTGTGAAATTTAGAAAGAATGTTTTTCTGTGGCGCCTATCCATGTTAAGGCCAATCATACTTTTTATAAAGTTTGGCTTTGGTACACAAAAAAAATTAGCTGCAAGAAACAAATGAATATATAATCCTCACATCTAACATATTTGTATAACGCGCCCAATCTATCTAGCTCTTTTAAACAATTTCTCTCAATTTTTCGATGCTGCAGTTATAATTGGCAGTTATATTTCTCACAAAGATCGTTCTAGCTGTAGTATCGAAACTCATATTTATCCAATGCAGTGATTAACATTTGGCAATGGGACCTAAATTTTCTAGAAGATATTATTAGAATATTGCTGCTATAAATTCTATATGTAACAGAGAGACAATATTCTAACAGATACAAAAAATAGCGATAAAGTTCTGTTGTGACACCTAGAAATCTACCTATATCAGCAAGACATTTTTTTGAGTGGAAAGCACGCAAATATATATATATATATACTTTACATTACAAAAATATCGACATATATATATCATTTTCATTAAAAAAGATTGAAGTTTTTATAATATAAATACTATAAATTAATCAAAAAAATTACTGTAGAGCTTTTAATTAAAAATTGGCTTTTTATAAACAAAATATAAAGTATATCCGTAAAAGATTAATAATGTAATAATTCTCTGTGCTATTTTTAGTCGCGATATCTTACATTACTATTAATAGTGATTCTACGATAATCTTGTGGTCGTCATCACAATCAAACGTCAAACATTAAACAACTCATCCGAAATATTTTTATCTCACAGAATGCTACGATATCATATCGCCAAAGCTCCCCTTTGAGAACGGGCATTAAATACCATATCTTGAAAATAATTGCCACTTTATAAGAGTACAAAAAGTTTCCTTGCTGAAACGAGTAGCACAAGAAGTAGAGAGGAAAATTCGAGAAACTTGGCTACTTAACGCATACACACTAGTTTAATGGTTTGTTACAACAAGGTAAGAGCAGTTAAACGCAAATATATACGAGAAATTCATTACCATATTTTCCGACGCCGCGTGCGACTTACGTAACAAGGTTGCAAGTTGCTTTTATGATATACGAGCCCATTTCGCTCTGTCTCAAAGCGGCGCTTTCCACGCCACGCGACTATTTTGCGCCAGTTCTCATGCACGGCCGGCTGCATTGTGTGCACGAACGCCTTGCGAGTTTTTCGGCACGTATAACGGAATAAGAACTGCATCTACCGGCGTTAGTTGCGTTACTTGTTTTAGATGTTCCGCTCAATACATGAGCCATATTGTACGCGCGAACTCATTTTGCTCGATCTCAAAACGATCCTTTGCTATATCCCAGGCATCTCTTAGCTATAGTCGACTTTATTATACATCATTGTATCTCGAGCGTTTCGACATACAGAGTCGAGATATATATATATAGTCGAAATATTGAAAATGTGTGTCATATTAAATATCTCTTAATTACAAAAATTGTTCTAAATTTTAGCACAATACAATATTGTAATAAATATTCTGTGCACAATTTATTTATTTATTCAGTAATAAACGTGATAGTATTATCAAATAATATTTTCTAGAATTTGCAACTTTGTACGGTTTTGCTCAATTATGCTTCTGTGACAGAATTACACGCATTAGGGCATTAGTCGCGCTCGTCTCACGTGTATATCTCCCATTTACAAGTCAGATTCATAGTCTGCCGAATTATTCACGGATTTTCGTGCATCAATGGAACCGTGCTACAGCTTCGTTGTTGCAATGTACATACCTTCGTAATACGAAGAAGCAAGGGAAAGCGAAAGGGAGACGGGTGGGTCGTTTCAAACTGCTCGCCGCGGGGCGTAAGGGTGTAAGGGCGACCCGTATAGTGTTCGAGAAAATTACGATTCTCTTTTTCGCGCATCCCCTCCTACGATCGATTCCTGCCCTAAGCGCTCGAGCCATGCCGTCGGATTCTCCCACGCCCTGACGCGAAATTATCGATGTCGAGATTACCGGGAAGGACGAGCGCGTTTATTGTTTTGCGGTCGAGCACGCTTGACTGACGGCCGCGGGCGATAGAGGGATTTTTAGAGATGCCGCGAACGCAGTTCCGACTTCTCCAAGCTCCGAGACAATTTCTTCTGATTGATTAAAATTCGCAAAATGGCACACATATAAAAAGATTGCAATAATTTTCAATAGTAAATTAATTGTCACAATTTCGCGTAGCTGCAGGATTCTTTTAAATCTAAGTTTAATAAAATGAATTTAAAGATATATTTAAATAAAACGCATGAAAGAAGCATGGTAGCATTTATAAATCTCGCTACATATTTATATAGCAAGAATGTAAAAATTAACAAAACACTGAAAGCAATTTCTAACAAATGGCAGAGTATTGCAAAATCTGAAGAGAATGGCGCAACGTAAACCTGTTTCTCTCACCCCAGTCTCGTCTTCTTTATGACTATTCTATTCATATTCATCGCGGCGCAATACAAAAGTTATTCGACCGCTCGGCAACTTTCGTGTACCAAGTTAAGAAAGAACTTCCTTCCTGCAGGTCAAAATACAGAAATATAAAGCGATAGCCAACGATACTCTAAAAGATACCGATACTTTTTCATATTTATATATATTTAAAATGCTCTAAATAATTTCCCTATCTCTTTGCACCACGCATTTAAATAAAGTAAAACAAACGTACCCTGTTACTTTGAAAAGGGAAAGAAGAAGGAAAGCCAAAACGTAAAAAGTATAGGTAGAAAGAACCAACTTGCTATCTCGATTATTCTGCTACAATGATTGTAACAAATTCCTTGTAATACGAACAGTCACAAGAACCCCGCGAAAAATGGCGAAATTCGACAAACTAAAAATATATATATCCGAGTTTGGAACAAATACATTCCAAACCTTCGAAGCGCACGCTTGTCTCAAACGATATTACACGGCTGACATTTCCGGGTCGTTTATCAGCACGTTCGGCGAATGATCTTGCACTTTTTCGCGGGCCAACGAGCGGAATACGAGTCGCGAGCGTGGCCCGATTCCGGTCTCGATATAAACTATAAACAGCACCAGGGCAGACGGTGGAATTAGCATTGTCCGATTCCCAACGATAGCGCGCCGACCTCGTAATCTACGACCCGGCGACGCTAATGAACGAATAGTTTTTGCCGGATGTGACCCGGTTAAGATTTATGCCGCCATAAATTCGGCGCACAATGCCGTCTCTCTCCCTTGCCTTCTCTCTCCAACAACGGCTCCGCACTCACGTCCGATAAAAATTCAGTACGGAATGTGTATGCCGAACACACTAAACACGTTCGAACATTCATCTCGTGCACAGGATATACGCGTGTCTACGCGAGTGACGAAAACAGTACCGTACGATGAGAGTTTTGAAAAAAAAGCTCGTTCGCGTCTCGGATTCGAATAAACGAATAATCTGCCGCGCCCCTGGCGATATCAAAACGATGTGGATAGCGCGGAATCAATCTTTATTATATTCGTAAAAATTTTCGACTTTCTCGACTTGAAGTTTAACTCCGAAAAGATAACTTGCAATTAACCACCTAATTATATAAAAAATTAAATGCTGTATAATTTTTATATCAATTACCTCTAACAAGTATTTTTTTGTGTGTTGAAGATTCTCTGAGTCTTCTTTCTTTTTGCAATTTTTGTGCAAGTCTTTAGTATAAAATTATATATTCTTGAGTTGAAATTAATGTTGAGTTAATAACGAGAGAATTGTAGCGTCGATGATTAGTGTTGATAATTTCTCAGAAAAGCCTGAATAAAGTAAGTTTGGTTTCTTTGGATCTTAAATACTTTCATGGAACCTGGCTTGAAGCTTCCTCCTTCGTGCAAATCGAGTCCAATATCACAACGCCAATGGCAGATCCACTTTCGTGAACTCTAATTAAAACTCTTTAATCGTCTTTGTTCGCGCTCGCGAATTTCTCCGCGGTCGGGATGAATATTAACTTTGTTCTTGTTTCTTGTCACGTACCGTCGTAATAACGCGAATCGTAATAAATGCAATATGCACACCAACTGCTCTCTTTCTCTCTCTTCCTCTTTCTCATTTCCTTTTTTAATTATGTCAAGAACGAAACGAAATATTTCCTTCTTCAGCTAGTTCGTTACGTATCTATCTCGACGAAACCTCTTTATTGCATTTATCGCATGGAATGTTAATTTTTATTTCACAGTAGACGCTCGTCTTACGTTTTATATAAATATGCAAAAAATTAAAAAAAAAATTAAAGAAAATTAAAACTTCGCGACCCACCTGTTTGTTCAAAATGTCCCAGATCTTCAGCGGCGGCTCCGTGTCCTGATTACGTGAGTTTCGTCTGGGCTGCGTGTCCCTCTGCACTAGGTACAATGGTCTCGAGCCTCGTACTGCGCCGTGATCGGGCAAGACCCCGGCCGCTGATACCGGCTCCTCGACATGATATTGCCAAACCACTTGCATCGTGTCGTTCTGAAACACAAAGGATGGCCCGAAGTCAAGAACGGCTCTCGTTCTGCGCTTTTTGCTGTCGAAAAATATTGATAGAGAAACGAGGCTACAAAGAGCTTGCCCTTTATATATCCAACTCGCCATAAAAATCGTTGCTTCCGGAAAGGAGGCAGATACTCTGTACGACGCGAATAAACGGGCTCCTCTGCCGAAGATTGCGCGCTCGGCTGCGTCTTTTAATCAAACCTCTCGTAAAATTTACGATCGAAAATTGTCCTAGACAAGCTACGTTGCAAGCCATGTTTAAAAATTTCAAATAAATGTACACGTATCGATTTTTCTCGTTAATAAATTCTAAGTTTTGATAAAGTTCTTTTTTAATAAAGATGGAATTTTTATATAATATTGGTTAAAGCGATGATATATATTTACATGATATTTTTCTCGTTTTCTATAATACGATCTTTAATAACTTCACAATTAAAAGTCCAAATTTGTCTACTTTTTATATAATCCAAGATAGCCTAAGCTTTCAGCGCCCTTAAATTCGCGTAGGAAATCAGCCCCGGCGTGACGCGCGTCAATGATCTGTGGCTGTGCTGCGGGCATACGCGATTTAATTCACCCCTAAAAGAAAGGCGACCGCCGAGGGTGGCCGCGCGATATACCCAATACAAGCGACAATGTCCCTCGGTGTCCGCTTGTCGCGGTTGGCCGCGAAGCGTACACGTGTCCAACCGCGCCAAACTTGGGGTTGCTTCTGCACGCAAACGAGCCACTTACACATCTCGGGACAATCGCATCTGATTGAGAAACTAGCCCGCGCACGCGGGCTTCGTTAACCGATTCATTCCAAAAAATGTCACTCATTGATGCTATTCGAGTTGCGTGAATAGAAATAAATAAATGTGGTATAACCGGATTTACGAGTTTGTTAATCAGAGCTATTTTTGCGCTTATGTTAATATAATATGTACTCGCTGTCAGCGTTAATGTTTGCAAGTAACGATGGATTATTGACTATTATTTTTAATCTTTCATCGATCGATCTCACTTTAACAGGTATACGAAAAATGAAGAATAAATTAAATGTGAAATATATAAATAAGAGGAAATTGTGAAAAATGAATAAATATTCTTTTAGTTTATTAACACATACACATATTGTTTGACTCTAATTTGTACGGAAGATCAAACGGTGCATTTTTCAAGTGCGATATAGAGAATAAAAAAATAATTAATTGGATTCTCGTCAATAGAGAATAATAAAAAAAGATTGCCAGAATATATGTATAATAAACATATATATCTACTTTACTTATTAAATATGTGAAACATATTAAGACATTTATGACAGAGATTTGCTTGAATCGCATTACAAAATATTACTCCGAGAATATTAATACCGCGAGAATTCGCATTCATCATGTTCTCGATCGTTATCAATTCTTGTTCTTACCGCCACTTACATATCGGAGATCCAGATTAAGAGCGCGCTTCGCCACTCCAGACACGTCTCGGCGTGAAGAAAAAAATCGTCGGCGGAATCACAGAAGTCTCGCGCAATCGGCATGCGAATTTGCAAGCCGCTCACGTGTTACCCATTCACGTTCTTCGATAATCGCCACGCGTTCCCCTCCTCGAAGGGGGAAAGACCCCACATTGTCCGTTAATACCGCCGCGTACAATCATCGGCGGCGCACCTACGATTGTTTCAGAGTTTGTTCCGAGACAACCGGGCGCCCGTCTTCGTTTGAATCAAGGGAAAGCGGGGATAAGTACGACGTAGCGACCCAGATCCGGCAGAATCGAAAGATTCTTGGAGCCAAGATGGAAAATCGATTAGAGGAAATGGGCATCGCGTTAGAAGGAAGGAGGCGAGAATCACGCGATTCATCTTCGATCGATTCTAAAGACGTCCTTTGACTACATTATACATTTTCGTTGTCCTCCTTCCTCGATCAACTGCGGTGCAGATTTTCTTCTCAAAAGTCTTTTACATAAGTATGTGTCAAAACTTATCAATTTTAATATATTAAAGATAAAAACTTCGCAAACTGATTAAAATAAATATATTATTTTATTCTCCATAACAAATTTCATATAAACTTTATTTAAAATCTCGAAAAATTTATGATTTATCTATCCAGATGCATAATATCGAGAAATAAAAGAATGAAAGAAACTGCTATCAAATTTTCGCGAAGAAACAAACACGTATAATTTAATTAAATTTCTGTTGAATCATTAAAAACTCTTATCACTATATTTTTTCCTGGGCCTGCCAGGATGATAATAAATACATCTCTTCCGCTTTCTCTGTCTGTCTCTGTGTTTTCTTCGCATACAAAGTTTGTAATTAATTCAGCAAATTCTGATATTATTCTGATATTTCATATTTCATCCTGACGGTTCTGACATAACTTCATATTTCATCTTCCACAATATTAAACATCATAATTTTTAATGGTGCAAATACAATAATTATTTTAATTAATTTAATTTTTCTGATTTCGTTCAAAATCTCTTTATTAGAGAGAGTGCTTTAATTAAATTCCTAATTTAAAATTTAACAATTTAAATTTATTTCGTAATCGTTTGTAAAATATTATCATTAATTTAGCTATATTACATTTTTTCGTTAAACTATTCGCTAAGAATTTTACCTCTTATAACAAATATCCTCCCTTCTCGATCGATTCCGATACATTCCTATGCAAGAGTTTCGGGAAAAATAGTAGCTCGTGAATATCCTTGATCGTCGAGTTCAAAGGATGCGGTGCTATTGTAAGATACGAGTCTACCATTCTCGATTCGAGTAAGCCACGCGTTCGATCTCAGAAATCCCGATTTAAAAGATCCGCCTAACTTGCTGCATCCTTAAGTAGGTCGACAAGAAAAGAATGATGCGAAGAAAAAATTCTCCCGGAAATAGGAAACGATGTTGACTCTTGTAGAGATCATTAAGCTAGGATATAATCCATGGAAAATATAAGGATGCGTTAATTAGCATGAGAATATTTATGAGAGATATTCATTAGAGGCAAGAAATTACAACATAATAAAGAGAGTATGTATATGTGCGTGTGCGCAAAACATGTAATAAAATCATAACAAGTTATGCAAAATGAGAAGACATGATTTATAAGAATTCACAGAAATTTCAGATAATACCATAACAGAATTACAAAATCTTTAGTCGTTATCAATTAGCATTCTCATTAAATTACGTGAATAATGCTCCGAAAGTTTTACTTTTTTACGATAAAAAAATTTAAATTTTAACAGACGAGAATTGTAACCGTTTGCTATAAAGATTTTAACTCGGAGATATATATTTCCATAAAAAGTATCCTCGGTAAGATATATGGATGAGATATAAAACGACGAATCTTGTGTTTGAGAAAGATAGGCTAGGTAACTTTGCAGGACAAGATGTAAGCAAGAAGACAAACGGAACGGATTTGAGATTCGAAGACATCCTCTGCTAACTCAAGCAGCGTTTCTTTCGCGGAGCAACTTTGTTGTTCGTTGTTCTCACGAGCCGTAAATCTCTTCCGCTTGTTCGTTTTGCACACCGATGTCCTTTCCTTCCGTCTGCGTATCTACGTTTAAGAGCAGTCGTAGCTCGCAATTATCCGTTCCAATAGTCGTTGGGTCAAAGAAGAGAGGGGCAAGGAGAGGAGAAAGGAGAGGCAGAAGATCCCATTTCGCAAGTTAAGGATGTCAGACGCGATGTGAGCAAATGGCGCGCGAGTTCCCTTGGAAACCCTGGCATAAAAGATCTGGGCCACGTGCTCCGTAGAATCCCAAAGTTGAGTGCGAAGAGAAAGAGAAGGGATGGCGGAAGTGGCAAGCGGAGGGGGTTGATCAAAAGGGGAGCGTGGTTCTATAATGGCGATTAATCGAGTTCACTCTATTACACGAAGCAAGTAAGGTTATTGTTGTTGCAGACTTTCGTCTTTAGACTCTATGAAACGAGTTCTAATTTTGACGTTACGTAAAATATTTAATTGAACGACGACGAAAGAGAACTATGTTACACTTTATGAATAATATAATCTCAGCATTTGACAATTATTTAGAAGCGTCTCTGGCAGCCACAAATGTAATTTTTTTTTTTCATTTATTTTAACGTTAGACTAAACTTGTCAGAATTAAAGGTTAACGTTCTCCATTTGGAATCAAAAGGTCAATGTGATATTGATGTTACTAAAAGGGTTGCAATAAAGGGATAACGAATGGGAATCATTCAGTACCCTCGTCGAGCACGCGAACTGGTCTATCCTCCGAAATTGAAAAGCCACTTCTCTCTTTTCTCCTCTTCGAACTTTCCCACTCTGTTCTTCCACTTCGGTATTACACCAGAAATCGTATCTCACGGCTAACGTCGCGCGGCAGTCGTTGAATTTAAGGGGCGTATCCCAATTTCTGGGTTAAGAGATATCACTTGCTATGTGAGCAAATGACGCGCTCTTCCTTCCTCGGAAAATCCCGTTTTGGAAGCTCGATATCGTCCGTTGCCCCCGCTGTCAAATCTTTACTACGAGCGGTAAGTCGAAGGAAAAAGGGCTCGCAAAAACACGATTTGTGTGAAAGATGGCCCTTTCATAATGAATATATTCGAGAAGCGATTCGGGATTGTTGTCAAAATTTAAAAATAATGATAGATATCGCGGATTTATCGCAGAATTTTTCGGTGCTAATATATTAAAATTATAATAATGTTTAAATAAAAATCATTCGAATAAGAATGGTTTGTGTGATTATCTTGCATTCGAATTTTCTTATATATATTAATTTCTTAAAACTGTAAAATAATTTTTAGATAATTTGTGTATTGTCTCATCGCGCGTAACAGATTTCGTCTAATTGAGAACGTAAACAGTCGCTATCTCCTCCTTTATAGAAACAATTCAGAAGTCAACACCGACGACAATCGTTCCACTTTGACGCGGCGAAAGCAACTTCGCTTTCTTTGGAGTAACTTTGGAACGTGCCGGAAGTATCTTTCTTCCGGT